TTTCTCTAGAGCCAACCAGTTGGCTCCCTAGTGGGAACCAACCTCATTTACATGACAAGTATGATAGAGACCAATTTCTGAATCGAAACGGGCTGCGGCTGCTCCTACTGGACCCTAGGGCGTAGGCCTAATTATCCTTATTATTGAGTTAATATAATTAGTTAAGTTAGTGGGCTCTTAAATGGGTTTTAGGGTTTAATTATTAAATATTGGGGTTTAGTATATATATTAGTGGTTAAGAATTAGATTAGCATTCTGGAATATTGACGTTTGTGGCAGGCTATCTTGCTTGAGGACCCTTCGGGGTAGTTCTTTCAATTATCTACTGTTATTATTGCCCTTCACTCTTTCAAATTGGTCCAGACCTGCCGATCCTTGTATGCAGACAAGGATGGACGCCCGTTTCGAGAAGATGGAGCACCGTTTGGAGATGATGGAGAAGGGTCTTGACGAGGTATGTACAAAATTTTTAACTATCGAGGCTATGTTCGCTGCCATTATGAAGGAGAAGGAGAAAACATCCGATTCTCGGGCCTCCCATAAGGCGGACACATCCCAGACCACTACCCATACCACTACATTATCTAGGCCACCAAAATCGACCTTCCTTCATTTGATGGATCTGACCCACCCAACTGCTTGGATAGCCAGGGCTGAGCAATTTTTTTTGGTTCACCACATTCCTGTAGCAGAAAAAGTTCCAATCGCGCTCGTAGCCATGTCTGGAGATGCATTATATTGGGTTCAAGGATTAATGCGCCGTTTTCCGACTATCGCTTGGCCGCATTTCATTGAAGAACTGTTGTTTTGCTTCAGTACTCTAACAACTGTGAATGTATATGAAGCTTTGAAGGTCACGCGGCAAACCGGCTCTGTCGATGACTATATTACTGAATTTGAAGCTTGTGTTGCTCAGGTAACTGATCTATCCGACCCTCATTATTTGGGTCAGTTTTTAGGCGGTTTACGTGAGGATATCCGAATCCGTATATGTGATGACCCATCCATGAATGTGTATGCTGCCATTCGATTGGCTCGTCAAGTGGAACGTGAACTGAATTTTGCAAACTTTTCATCAGCTAAGGGACAGACCCGTTCATCATACTCTCCATCCTCAAGTTACAGCCGCCCATTACAGGGTCCACGATTCTCGTCACCTCTCCAGCATAGTTCACCACAGCCTCAAGCTCGCTTGACTCCCACCCTGAGTTATGAAGCCAGCCAAAAGGGGTCATTCTCTAATGTGGGATCCACTATCCCATCTCAGAAATTTCGTAAAGTGCGTCAACTCACACCTTCCGAGTACCAGGCCCATCGGCAACAGGGTTTATGCTTTCGATGCAGCCAACCCTATGGCCCGACGCACGTTTCCCCAGCCTGTTCCCTAAACGTGATGCTCGCGGGTGAGGAGTTGGACTTCTCACAACCATCAGACTCTGAGTTGGTAGAAGAGGTCTCAGACCCTCTGACAACTGAACCCCCACTTCTCCAAACCTTACAACTTTCACACCTTGCAGCCAAGGGGTTTGACGGTCCCCATACGATGAAGCTGATAAGCAGACTTGAGAATTTCAAGCTCCTGACTATGGTGGATAGTGGCGCTAGTCATTGTTTTATTTCGAAAAGGGTTGTGGATCAATTGGGATTACATGTGGAGCCTTCACCGGCGTATTCTGTGATGCTCGGCAATGGCCAACGCATTTTTGCACAGGGATTGTGCCGCGCCCTACCTCTCTATTTGCAGTCTGCTACATTTACGATTGTTTGCTTTGTTTTTCCGTTGGGAGGGGTGGATATAATTCTGGGTGTTTCTTGGTTGGCCTCTTTGGGGGATGTGAAAGCAAATTGGAAAAACTTGACAATGGAATTAGTTAAAGATGGTCGTACGATCCTTCTGAGAGGGGATCCCTCGTTCACCCGCCAAGCTGTTTCTGCAGCTACAGCAGTTCGTGAATTTTCAGACGGTGAGCAAACATGGCTTTTATGGTCGATGGATCATTCAGAATCTCCATCCCATTGTCCTGTGTCAATCGAGTCTCATTCTCCAACTCGAGATGAACTCTCCGCCCTTTTAGCGGAATTTTCGGAGAACTTAACACCATTTTCCGGACTACCTCCTGAGCGACACATTGACCATCACATTAATCTGCAGCCGGGTACCGAACCCATTTCAGTGAGACCATACCGCTACAATCATTTCCAAAAAGATGAAATTGAACGACTAGTGGCAAATATGTTGGAAGCTGGGTTGATCCGCCCCAAGTTGCAGCCCCTACTCGAGTCCTGTTCTCTTGGTTCGCAAAAAAGATGGCAGTTGGAGGTTTTGTGTAGATTACCGCGAGCTGAACAAGCACACGGTTCCAGATAAATACCCTATCCCTATCATCCAAGAGCTATTAGATGAGCTGCACGGAGCAAAGTGGTTTAGCAAGCTTGATCTCTGGGCCGGTTACCATCAGATACGAGTTGCTGAAGCGGATATTTCTAAAACAGCGTTTCGCACACATTCGGGTCATTACGAGTTCTTAGTGATGCCTTTTGGGTTGACGAATGCTCCCGCCACCTTCCAGGCCATCATGAATGATATTTTCAGGCTTTATCTCCGTCACTTTGTGTTAGTCTTCTTTGACGACATCCTGGTGTATAGCAAAACGTGGCAGGAGCATATGTGCCATCTCCGACAGGTATTGGGCCAACTTCGGGAACATTCATTTTCAATAAATCTGAAGAAGTGTTCGTTTGGAAAGAAATCCGTCGAGTATCTCGGCCATATGGTGTCGTCGGATGGGGTGCAGATGGACCCAACAAAAATCGCTGCAATGCTCCAATGGCCGCGTCCGGCGTCTCTTCGTAGCCTACGTGGGTTTCTTGGCCTCACAGGTTACTATCGCCGATTCATTCGTAGTTATGGCAAGATTGCCTCTCCTCTCACATCGCTATTGAAAAAAACGACATCTCGGGAGTGGGTCTGGCCTGTGGAGGCTGAACAGGCTTTTCAAGAACTCAATCAATCCCTAACTTCTGCTCCGATTTTAGCTATGCCTGATTTTTCATTACCGTTTGTCGTTGAGTGTGATGCATCGGGACGAGGGCTCGGTGCGGTTTGATGCAACAGAGTCGTCCAGTGGCTTATTTTAGCAAGGGTATTTCTGATCGCGCCTTAGCTAAATCCGCTTACGAGAAAGAGTTGATGGCATTGGTAATGGCTGTCCAACACTGGCGTCCTTATCTCATGGGGCGACGCTTTCTAATTCGTACAGATCAACGCAGCTTGAAACATCTATTACAGCAACAATTGACTACTCCTGCCCAACAAAATTGGGTTGCCAAATTGCTAGGCTTTGATTTCGAAATAGTTTATCGTTCTGGAACTTCGAATCGAGCTGCTGACGCCCTATCACGTAGGCATGAGGAGGTGGAATTAACAGTCATTAGTATGCCCACGGATGGATTGGAGTCGACTAAAATTGGCTATTCAGTCTGATCCAAAATTATCCAAGATTGTGTCTGCCTTGGAATCTAGCACGTCCGCACCACCACATTACTCACTCGTTCATTGTAATCTTTTCTATAAGGGTCGCTTGGTAATTCCTAGTGAATCCGAGTGGACCACCAAATTAATTTCAGAATTCCATTCCACACCAACAGGGGGTCACTCTGGGGCATTCCGCACTTATCGACGCATAGCCGCAAACGTGTATTGGCCAGGAATAATGCGCCAAGTGACGGATTTTGTGAGGCGTTGTGACATCTACCAAAGAAACAAGTACGACACCAAGTCGCCAGCAGGCCTGCTACAACCCTTGCCAATTCCAGATCGAGTTTGGGAGGACATTAGTTTGGACTTTATTTCGGGCCTTCCCTGTTCGGGCAATCTTGATTGTATCTTGGTGGTTGTTGATAGGTATTCCAAATATGGTCATTTTCTGGGATTGAGACACCCTTTCACCGCCCGATCTGTGGCAAATCTATTTTGTCGAGAGGTGGTGCGTTTGCATGGTATTCCTACATCAATTGTATCGGATAGAGATCCAGTGTTCCTAAGTTCGTTTTGGCAGGAGTTGTTTAAGTTGGCAGGCACTAAGTTGAGAATGAGTTCCGCATATCATCCTGAGACGGACGGGCAGACCGAGGTATTGAATCGTTGCCTTGAGACATATTTGCGCTGTTTTAGTTCTGAAAGGCCACGAGAATGGAGTAAGTGGTTGGCTTGGGCTGAGTACTGCTATAATACGGGTTTTCAATCAATTGTGGGCGGTACTCCATTTGAGGTAGTTTATGGTCGTGCACCTCCTATGCTTCATCGTTTTATACCAGGGGAAGTGAGGACACAATCATTAGCAGAGGATCTTCGGGACAGGGATGAGGTCTTGCGCCATTTGCGTTTCCACCTAGAACGTGCTCAACAACGCATGATTCGTGAAGCGACAGCAGACGCTTTTTCGTAACATGAACACTATGTTAGCACCTCGATTTTTTGGGCCGTTTGAGGTTGAGGCTCGTATTGGAGCAGTTGCTTATCGGTTGAAACTGCCTGATACCGCAAGGGTGCATCCAGTCTTTCATGTTTCCCTGTTAAAAGCTTCGGTGGGACCGAATTCCGTTGAGCCTACATTTGTTTTTCCTTAGAGCCACCGCCAAAGATCGAGATTGCTCCTTCTCGGGTGAGGAGGAGTATCTCGGCTGAGGGTCTAAATCTACTTAAAGGTGCATTGGAAGCTAATTAATTAGATTCAAGTCAATATCTGGGCTTCTCTTCATGTATCATATGTGCTTGTGGTGTGTATCTTTCTTGGTTTGGGGGTTTTCTTTGATGTATAAGCCTGGTGTGAAAGTTACTGTTGTGATTCGGGAAAATAAATTCTTTTCATAATTCATGATTATTTTTGGCTTCTAATGAATTTATATACCTCTAGGCAAAAACAAAAGTCTTTCTGAATGAGCTTCCTATGCTATTTTCCATTTTCTAATAGATTGCAAATGTCAAACCCAAGTTTGTACCACCATTCCCCAATTGAAAGATTAGGAGAAATTTTTTTGTTCATGCAAAAGATGTAAATGTAATAGCCATTGATGAAGTTAGTACCACCTACAATAGAAAGATTATGAGAAGTTTTTTCGTTCAAGTGTGTTTTAATCGATAATGCTGAAAATTCAATAGTTTCTGAATCGTGACTACAAAAAACATTAAATGCTATCATAACTCTGAACCAAAAATATCAAAGCTTATGAAGTAACATCTGCAACCTCGTCTCATGAACTGCTCTAATCTCTCATAAAATCCGGTATGTGATAAATGGTTTCTTAAAGTTCTCTGTCGTTGGTATCGTCTTCATCAATGGATTCCTGGGTACCACTGTACAAATGACAAGTTAAGTAGACATTTTTCTTTTCGGTTTAATGATGACCGGACTAAAAGTGAAAACCAGAAACTAATTTATCAACTGAAACATGAAAAATACAGTTTTAGTTGAACAACTTTTATTTATGACCATACTACAAGTTAACAGTAGAAACTAATTAATTGACTGAAACAATATGGAAGTGCTTTATCAATGCGAAACTATTTCTGAAAACTTGTTAATAACAGCAACATTGTACTGATTTGGATATGAAATGAATTACCTTGTCCTGCTGCAGTATCTACCGAGGTCTTGGCAGAGGACCTTGCTTACTTCTCCTGCTTTAACGGACCCTTTTTTTATCGATTCAGCAAGCTGTTAGCAAATAGTATTGGCTGTGTTAGAAGTTTTTGTGAAAAAAGAAAAACATTGACCAAGATATAGTGGTAAAAAATTATTCACCTCATCTTCAGTTTCCTCAAGTAACCTTGGACAGAGAGAAAATAGATTAGAGAGGATGAGACTAGGTTTTTTATATAGTCCTCAGAACAAATGAATTGAGAATCACCATAGTGATTTGGCTCTAACGTTCAGCAGGCTACAAAAAATTGACTTACCTTCCACAGAAAGTTGAGATGTCTTTGGAATATGCCCTAGCTTCTTGTTTATCTGAGGTAAAGATTAAAAAATGGAATATAGTTTGTCAGAAACCTCATAAAGTAAATCGTAAAAATACACCAACAAAAAAAAAAACAAAAAAAAAAAGAGAAAAAACAAAAGATGCCATTTTAGTGGTGGTTATTGGAAAGCTTTTAATCTCCGTGCAAGCATAAGCACAACGAAGTTAAGATAACAAATCTAAATTTTTCAGTTCAAGTTCTGCAAGCCTAGTACTAGCCATGACTTCATAAAACCTCGTCAAGAAACATCTGTAGTTCACTGAGCTTCTCTCTCCTATTTTTAGTCTGTAGAAACTTCTTCAATTAATATTACTGGCATTTTGTAAAATTGAGCACCCAAAACTCTTATCATATATTTTTGCTTGCCCAGACAAACAAGCCACACTATAGAGTCAAGGCCTGTGCATTATGTGCGGTCCGCATCGAGCATAATGTATTAATGAGATCTAATGCCAACATGAAAAAATATTATTTTCATATTTATGCAAACCATGATGGTTTTAACTGCATTTGCATTTCCACCAGAAAATCATTGTCCCAAAGCATGCTTTAAAGAAGATTGCATAAACTTACACAACCAAGTTCCAATGGCATAACACAAATAAAAAACCATATTTAATTTCCCAGTCCCAGGGCTTTCAGTAAACATTCCATGTACCCTCTTGTGCACAACAGAAGAAACTATAAATGAGAGAATAGAGAATTCTTTAGGCTATGTTTGTAAAAGGATTTACTCCATCCAAATTAATTCATACTCAAAATCTAACTCAACTTTAACTCAACCCCACTATCCTCAATATTATCAATATAATTAAATAATAACAATCAATCATTAAACAATAACAACCAATCATTTTTACACATCATATCAACTTTAATTTACTATTCATCCACTCACATAATTTTAACATATCACTTCATATCATCTCTCTTCTACTTTTACATCAAATTAATTTTAATTATTTTATTTTAAATATTATTTTAATATAAACTAAAAATCCCACTACCAACTAACTATACTAATTTTTATAAATTAACCCCAGTTAACTAAAGAAAAATTCACTTTGAGTTAATTCACTCAAATTATTTCTTCTACACAGGAATATAAACAAATTATTTCTTTTACATTTGTAGCATTTTTTGCATCACACAGGAATATAAACCACATTGATCCTTATCAGACTACAGTTTTTCTCTAGAGCCAACCAGTTGGCTCCCTAGTGGGAACCAACCTCATTTACATGACAAGTAAAAGATACCAATTAAAAAGAATTGATTGTGTTTTCTTACAAATTAAAGAATATGGTATCTTTTACTTGCCATGTATACGAGGTTGGCATCATAGAAAAACTTTATCAGACAATTATGATCAGATTAGTTAAGGGTTTGAGAGGACGGTATGGCAACAACTAAAGATCCTGGGAAACAGCTACATATTTATCCTATGACCACCAAATCTAGTCTTTGCTAACCATATTAAAATAGTAAGACATGTAACACTGGCAAATATTCCAAAAGTATTAATTCTATCCTGATGGTCACAATCAATAGATCCATTTGAGTGAGAGCCAGGGCTATTAAGACTACCAAACTTATCCTATGAACACCAGGTCTTGCCTTTGCTAGCTATAGTAAAGCAGCAAGACATGTAACACTAGCATATGTTCCAAAATTATTAATACCATTCCTGATGGCTAATCAATAAATCCATTCGGGTAAGAGCCCGTGCTATTAATACTACCAGATGCAAGAAACAGTTAACTGAAAGAAAAAATGTTAGGAATAGAGTCGTTCTGCTACCATAATATTTCTTAACAAAATCTTTCAATTTTACGTTCATCGGAATCATAGTGAACCAGCTACCAGGATGACTTTCTCTGTTCCGATGAGACTAAGTTAACGGATGCCAAGCTCATGCACTACTAAAACGAAAATTACTTAAATGTATACGGACTTTTAGCAACTGGAAACTTTCAAGTATAGCTAAGTTGGTCAGATTTGCGTAGCTTAGTACGCAATGAAAACAATTTTTCGATGTGCAGTTGAATGAGAGCTGAAAAAATTATGTAACAGTGAACACTTATGGATGCAAATACAAAAGATTTAATGAAGTCAAGATTGGATGCATACTAGTTGTAAGGTTGTCCCAGCTATTCACTTTAATCCATGTTTGTCTACTTGAACCCACCTGCCAATACACAGAGACTAACATTAGCACAGAAGGGATGAGCAATATGTTTTGTCCTACGGAAGAGCTGAATTGAAGTCAATCTTTTCCATGTAAGACTATTATATACACTATAGTTGGAAATGAAAGAGGCTCTTTCACGTAAAATGAGGAAAAACATGCTACCTTCTCGAGAGTATAATCTTGCATCTTTTCACACAGCCCATCAAGGAGCTCAACAACTCTTAACTCACTGACCCTGTCAGGAAAAGAATGAGGAGACACATAAATATGAGCTAACCACATAAAGGGGGCATATATTTGAGGTTTTTAGGTCAGAAATCACAGTTACCTGTAATCTATAAGCTTCCCTTGACGCTGACCCTTAGAATCCAACCGGTGTCTCATGTCCAGATGGTTTCTAGGCTTTTCCTGCATAAAACACGTCAATATTTTGAAGTAGTTCTTTACAGGTGTAAAATCATTGTGTGGTTAAGTAGCTAATACTGTATTCTGAAAACAGAATAAATGAATCCTTATGCTCCATAAATTATTAATCCATTCAGAATAAACCAACAAACTCCAATGTTAAACTAATTTATTGCATATGCAGGTCAGAGAATCAATTTTCTACATTCAAGGCTTACTAAACTTCCAACAAGCAGACTCTATCATTAGATATTCCGTTAGCATCATCTTGATATTAACCCAATCAACATTTACAGTTCTGAGATTCAATTTGCATAAAACAAAGTAAAGATTTTTTTGAAATTCGTCTATCATTAACAGTCAACCAATGCGTTTGTACTCGAGACAAAAAAATTCACAAGTAAAGATACACAAAATAAGCAAAATCTTACATGTAACAGTCCCTGCTCTAGCTCCTCCTGCCGATAACCACAAATGTCAATCAATAAATCAAAAGGTAAAATGTAAATTACATTATATAAAACAAGCTAAATAGGATAAGCGCACTCAAGTAGAATC